TTGGAAATAACAGTCGAGGTATGTGTCAAAATTATGTTTTTGAAAAATACTCTTCTTCAGAAAGTATCCCATTAAACAATATTTCTTCGATGCATTCCATAAGTTATTGTTTATTTCAGTAAATCTTCTGATAAAAAAACTTATTTTACATTTTCTTTAATAATCGACAGCATATTACTATTTTTCTAGTGACTAACCAATGAATAGGATTACTTTCTATTATGAGAAACATTTGAAACAATTGAGTTTATAAATATGTAATCAAATAGAAAGCAATATTTGATTGTATATGTCATGTATCACAGATATTGGATTCAGTTCTTCATAAATCCAATTTAGTATACAGGGCGCGTTTACATATCTACGTGTAAATTTATAGCTAATGCACAATGTTGCAGTAAGCTTTCACCTTGTTAGATTTTCTTAAATATTTAATTTTATCAAGTTCAAGAAACAATTCGAGAAATACATTATTTTGCATTTCTGTGGCATATTTTAAATATTTTTATAACAAAGAAATGAAAATCGAACGGCGAAAATAACTATAGAAAAATTATTACGAGTATTTGGAGTTTCTTCCTGGAATGTGTGAAAACAAGGAATGAGTTCTTTAAAATTTGTACATTTTCTTCCTAAACAATGTAACCACAAATATCCGAAAAATATTATCTATGATTTTGTAAAATCATTTGTATTCAATATTCTGAAATTATCATTTGGAACTTATTCAGGTCACTTATACAAACAAATATAGCAAAATATAAACTACCACGAAAGAATAATTTCAGCTCGAATATATCTTTATAATTATCCACTAATTTGAAATTGGTAACAGAGATTATATTCAATATAGCATTTAAGCTGATTCAATATGTTGCGAAGCAAATGTGAAAAAGTAATAATTAGCAAACTCAATTACTGGTCTTTTCTGCTGTAACAATATATATCGATTCTTATGATTGTCACAATAAGTGTAACGGTGTTAATATTTAATATCACATTTCTATTATATTCCTTTTGTAATTAGTTGCCGAATAACAATTATTCTATGTATTCATCCACACAAAACTCAATAGTTTATCAACAAAGCACGATACTGAGTAAGTTAATATCTGTTTAGAAATTGACTGTGTTTCGCACTCGGGCGTTTGTGTCACTTGATTAGAGCAACTGTGTTTGACACCCTGAATTCATGCTCCTATTTTTGTGTAATGCTACTAATGTTCAATAATATGCTTCATAGAACTACATTACTTTTTAAAGTGGTGTGGAAGTGTTTAGATCATGACATTTACAAGCAGTTAGACGTGTTATTTGGGACAGTAAAACTCTGATAAGGCGAAAACGTAGTTGGAATTGAGCCCATGAAGTGAAAAGTCTTTGTGAACATGAAACCTGAATCATTATCACATATTAATGTTCAATAAAATAATTAATAGTTTCACAACCTATTAAAGATTTTTCGATGTCTCACTAATTAAACTTCATTCTCAAACAAAATTAAGTTCATTTATTTTTTAGGGATGTAATCCAGCCTACAGCCGGCTCACGTCCCACATATTCGACCATACACTAAACACCTTTGCGGCATTACCATTAAATTTATAATTTACTTTCCTTGATGTCAGGACCATTTCATCTCACCGATGAATGCCTTATGCCTCCCAGGACACATTGATTATTACCTATGTTTTCTTTCATATTACTAATCCTTGACATTTTTAAGATAAGCTATTGCCTAAGTTGAAAATTATAAACCTTTCCGAGACACTTCGCCGTGACCTCTAGATGTGTTTACTATCTACACTCTAAACTGCCCTCCGAGTACTTATGCCTCTCCCAAAACTACTCTAAAACTTGCTGAACGCGGAATCTCAAAGGGCCAATATTTTTGTATATTAGAAAATATTCCGCATTACAATGTAATGCAGTACAACTTGTGTTTGTTAGGACCACGATTCATGTTTACCTTAGACGGATTTACGAGTTATGCACGTTTCACATTGGGTAATTTTTTACTGTACTTTTGATTTCTTTCACCTTCTGTAAATGCTACACATTTTGTTTCCCCGGTAATTGGCTTCATCTTCTAAGTCAGTGAGATTAACTTTCCGTAACATTTGACAAACGTACGCAAAATGAATCTGATATCGTCATTGTAGGTAAATTCATTTGTTCTGTTACCTACAGCTTTTCTAATGTATTTTGTGATTTTATATTCACAGTAAATTGCAGTAATCACAAGTTTTTAAATTTTTTATTCTAATAATAAACCTTATTTTACTGTTATAAATATTTTTATTTAATTTTAGCATCTTGTGAATATCCAAAGACGTCGGGGTTTAGTTATTCAATTGTTCATATTTATTCATTTATGGTGTCCTTAAATTTCAAGAGGTACAGATTATCTGCATACCAAGGAATAAATATTACTTAATGAACTCTATTATAAAATGAATGGTCGATCCCCGTTAAACAAATGATTTATATTTATACATGTGCTACATTTGCCGATCTGAATGACCGAGGTGACTGAGGACGGTACCGACTCCGGGCTTCGGTCCAAGGGTCGGTGAGTCGAGTCCCGACTTGGGCATGATTGTTCGTCCCTTGTTTCTCATGTATGTGTTGTCGCGGAGGAGCTCGCGTTCTGCTTCCCTAGACCAGTGGAGCCCTCAAGTGTGTTGGTATCTAGTGTGCAGTCGATGTGTCTAGTCTAGAAACTGTGCAGTCTGCGCACAGTTTCCAACGAATCCATCACGTGTAGATCTCCATTACCCACCTCATACGCTCGTCTTATGCACAGTGAGCAAGTTTTAGAATCTCTACTAAGGAACTGATTGTGAAAGCAGCAGTTTTCCGAACCTACGAGTACTTCCAGTTGTATCTACGTGTGAATTATATTTCGCAGTGCACCATTTGGTCAGCAGTAGTCGCACAGTTCAAATAGTCCTATTCGTGAGCTATCATATACTGCTATATGCGCGTGGCCAGTCTATACCGAGCATTGTGATATGCGAATTAAGACCAGCTGGGCAGTGTTCGTGATAATGTGTGATTACTAGCGCATCTATCCTATCGACCAAAGTATACACGTTTTTTATTATACAAATATGTAGTAGATGAAAAATAGAAAATACAAATTAAAAGAAAATGTACAAAAGGTCATGAAAAGGCGAAAAAATTTAAAATGTGCTGGTCTGTATTGAATATTATTTAATATAAATTGTACAATAAAGACAATTATTTATTTACATATTTCTTAGTTTATTTCGGCCATTACCGTATAATTAATGACGCCCCTCGGTTACGATATTATCCAAGTGCACTACGAAAACAGATAATATAATATATTTTAGTAAAAATGCAATAGAATATAGCCTATTAATATCCATCAACTTCCGCGAAGACGATTGAGTGAAATTAATATTCACACGCAGGGCTAGGACAGACAGTGTATGGAGCTGTGGAAGATGGGTGGTTTATATAGTTCTTTTCCAGGCCATTTGGAGCGCGGAGAGCGACTTTAGTAGATCAGTAGAAAAAATAAGAATGTAAGCACGCGATAGGAGCTTTTGAAGAAATATGCAAAATAATATGATATGACACATTATTGCCACGCTTCAAACGATCGTGAAAAACTTGAAACAGTTACATTGAAACAAAGAGGCATGATTATTTATTTGAATTAATTTACGTTGACAAGAGAATATACACATATGGTTATCAAGATTTTTTAATTAAAACAAACGTTACGATTTTTCTTTTGGAACAACAGAAACATTTTTAAAATCACAAAAAATAAAGCTGTTGTATTTTGCAGTTTTTTTACATATACAATTAATTTTACGACATTCGGAGAAAAAACAGATATTATCAGCAAGTGGAGAGTGTAATATTTCTATAATTCTGATATATTTAACAAAATACATGGTATTGCTTTGGCAATAATATTCACGTGTTGTGATATAAAGATCTAGTCAGGTGTATATCAATTCTATCGAAGCTCTCTTCCTGATTGCTTTTATTTGAATTTGAAATGCAAAGCGTAAACATTGATATAACGGAGAGCTATTTATACCAACGATATTGCTTTGAAATTATACCTTTTTAATAAAATAATAGTGCCTGTATTTAATATCGAATTAAAACATATTACCTTGAGATTATTTCACACAAATAACGCAAAATTTATTTACCGAGGATAATTTGAAAAATAACCACCTATGATGCTCTATAATACTATTACAATACACATTTGGCAAACAAGTAAATTTGTTTTTCTGATGAAACTTGTTTAATCGATTTGCCTCTTACCATGAGTAATCCATATACAAATATAGCGTTCCAGGGATGAAAAAAGCATTTGTTTTGTACGTAATAGTGGAATAATGCAATTCTACCGGTACAAAACTGAGAATGTAGAAAGCTTTTCAAACACAAACAGCCCTCCGCAAGGTTGCATGTCTCAGTGTTTTTCAACACACTTGGGTTTTGGTGGCAAATAATACAGCTTCCATAAATTATGTTTCCATATTATGTCAATATATTTTCCAAATAAATTAGTTGTTGTTTAAAGGTGAAAGTTCATGATTTTCATATTGGACTTAGAGATGGTTTCTGTATTTTTTCGTTCTTCTTCATCGTTTAGTGAAGAAACGAACTTACTCCACACACTACTTATACATTTTTACGACGCTTAATCAAAAGATTGAAAGTTGAAAGGGACCAAGTCTGTCACTTAGTTCCCTTCAAACACAACGGACGTGTATGCGGAAAGATGAGAAACAAACAATTTTATTTTTCAATGGCAGAATGGACTGAACAGTGTAAACTTAATATAAAATAATATAAAATAATATAAAATAATATAAAATAATATAAAATAATATAAAATAATATAAAATAATAAAGATAAAAACATTAAAAAATTAATTATCTATAAATTTTCTTTGCACGAATACAATAACTCTAACAGTTCGCAAGTTGGTAGTGCTCACCCGGTGCGCGCGAAGTTGCTCCAGTAGATCATCGTGGCCTCCGCCAGCAGCACCTCGGCCTTGGTGTAGTTGCGCGGGAAGTGCGCCAGACCGCCCACCAGGGGCGCCCCGAGCACGTAAGGCAGCTCCTCGCCGTGGATGCAGCCCTGGCGCTGCAACACACACACAGCACGGCTGACGTCAATCACTCCATTACCACACTTTTGCGCAATTAGTGCAATCGCGTCGCCACTCCAAAGAAGTTCAATACAGGGCGTGGATTTGAAAGATATACGTGGATATGAAATAATGGATACACGCTTACGTCCGTGGTCGAGTGGATTCTGTGGCATATAGTTCAGCATATTGAACTGTTATGACCTAGTTCGCGGGTTCGAACCCATTCGAAGCCCGTGGATTGTGTGGATTGTTATGGGGAAAATATTCCTTATGCCTTCCTTAGAATGGGAAGTTAAGCTGGTTTTCCCATTTTGTAGGTTTGCTGTATGTAAAACATCTTCAAGCCTAAAGAAAGCCTCAGAGCAAAATTTTAATCACCCATCTTATTACCCGAGTGTTGCTTTCTTCTGTTGCTACTCGTACATGGTGGAAGAGCAGGGATGATGATTTAAGTCTCGCCTCGTAAAATAAGGTATAATTGAATTGAAGTGAAACGTGGTATATGCGTTTTTGAAGTTACACTGTATTGATACCATTAATTACATTATCATATTCTATATTCACAGTTATTAAAAGTGCGGCGATTTTTTAATAGTAAAACAAACACACAGTTGTTACATACAATGTTACGGTTGTTTGAATGCATAATACAATTATAACAACTGAAGAATCAAAGGTCATTCTTGGGTACTTTATCTATAATACAATTCTAAGTTAAGTGCTGTTTCAGCAGAGAAATGTACATTTTAAAATGTCAAGGAAATTACTTTTTACAAAGTACTTAATTTAGGTCAATATTTATCCACTGAACTCTCCTTTCGTCAAACGCTTTCTCACTAGTTATGATGCCTATCTGTATTCACACAGATTTATGTTCTGTAATTTTTTTACTGCGTGAACGCTTATTGTGAAATAGCTCTTGGGTGTGGATAAGCGGATTTTTGGATAGACCATAAAAATTAGCGTCACTTACAGGGAGCGCTAATCAAGATAATTACCGATTATTTCCTACAGGCTACAAGTTTTACACATACTATTGTAAATTATCATTAAAAAATGCTCACTTTGTCATTGCTTCATTATATCACACAATTCACAGCAAGACCAGCAAACATTTTATGCATAGATTTTAAAATTTTATCGGTACAGAGAGATAACTGCTACATAAGGCAGTGCAGCCACAAAACCGCGAAAATATGGGGTCTCTCTTATTCTTGTCTCCCTTGAAATCACAGCCTGAACTAGGTTCCACTAAACTCCCTCTGGGGACTTTTGACGTAGCAGATTCTGGTGATATTTTGTGGATTATTTCCTTTTGAAAGCCCTGGAAGTACTAAAGTTAGTTGAGGGCAACCACTAGACAATAAATATGCAGTGAATCTGTCTAGATCTAAAACGGGGCTGCCCCACAAACATTTCTGAAAATTTCTAGATAAAGAGAAGTTTCTCTAAAATACACCTTCTCTCTGAATCAGAAGTTGAATGAAGAGAAAGGGGGAGGATTCGCAAAAAGAAGAGGAAGGGAAAATGAACTTGCAAGAGCAGAAATGTAATGCTGAAGCACACAGTTGTAATTTCGACACCACTGTGAAAGGGAAAACTTCATATCGGATCAAAATTGCTACTCTAATACGCAGAAAATGTGAACCAAAATAGAAAACAAGGTATATAACTACGAGTAGAATATTCATCTCAGTGAGACATGAATTAATAGTAGCAAATATTTGAAAGTTGTATTGAAAAGAGAACGAATTGTTGAAAAGCAACACAATATGTCTCCCTTGCGACGACAAATAGCATTCGGAGAAGCGCAGACCAGAAGCAAATCCTACCAGAGATAAAAACATGTCGAAACAAGTCATAAACAAAAGCAAAAGAGAGACGAAAAGGTCAAAGAATAAGGGCAACACAATGAGAGAAAACACAGCAATGAAACGTGACGAACGAGGCACCGCCAAGGGATGATCGTTAGCAAACCCCGATCGCCGTGGCCGAGATAGCCTGTCCCGCCAAGACGCTCGCGAGGAGCAACTGAGCGTCAAGAAGAGACGCTCCTTCTCGACAGCCTGATTACTGGGTGGCGCGCAGCCGGCGGCTGGGGCGCAGCAAAGGGAGAAATGACAAACGCGACACGATGAGCGCGCGGGGGCGGGCGGCGGGGCGGTTCACCCCCACCGCTGCACCGCCGCCGCGCGATCGACGCGCCCATAAACCGGCATCCGTGTCGGCACGGCGGGGCGGGGCGTCGGGGCCCTCCGTGTTTACACGAGTCGTGGCAAAACACTATTCAGCGCCGCCACGCCGGTCCGCCCTTGTCTTACTTCCTCGCAGCGCTGGCACCGCCGCCCCGCCACCCCTCGTCCCCCCTCCCCGCTCCTCCCATGCCTTCGCCCGAGGCTGCGCTGCCGCCCCCCTGCGCTTATCGCAGCCGGTGTGCGGCGTGGGATCGCGCCGCTGTGCAGAGGCTAACTGCTGCCATGTACCAGCACGAGCGACGTCTTGGGTGCTGCGGCCGTGGGTGGTGTGCTCGTTTGGTGCGGGCGCTTTGTTGTATTATGACCTCTGTGAAGGCAGTCTGAGAGAGCCGTGTGGATTATAGAATAAATGACAGAGGAGCAGCGATGAAAATACTGATGGCATGACGAAATAGCTTTCTGGCATGCTGAGACAATGAAGCCAATGACCGAGGTTGACCTCACACGAGTGTATTATTCTGTTGTTTATGACAGGGTCACCGCATCTTTTGTCAACAACTCTTTGTTTGAAAATCGTAAGTAAAAATCATATAATGACCAAGCAGGATTCAATTAAAAAGTCACTGTTTACTACTGAGAGGCATTCGTATTACAATGCTTTCTAAAGTTTGATTGAGCATTTGACAAGGGATTTCTAAGCTTTAAATACAATTGGTGCGGATAAAAAAGAGACAAATGTATGAAATACGAAAAGAGAAAAAAAACTACAGAAATACAAAATTATCAGAGAACAGCATTAGCCCGGAAATGCATTAAAATGAATATCCATATATGAGATGTCCAGTTCATTATTGAATTCATGTAAAGTGAGGACAATATCACAAGAGGAAATATAATAAAAATAATTAGAACATATTTGAAGAAAAAATTCTAGAATTTGTAACTTAGAAATGATTAATTTATTGATTACTTTGGCGAATTAAAGAGAGGAATTAACAAATTGACTTATTTGCCTATGAATATTGGTTCCCATCACATTGTAACGAAAGTAGTAATAGAAGTAGATAAAATACGATATAAATAGAAATACCAAAATAAAGAAAATAAGTAAATAAATATAAGATAATAAAGATAAGCAATTTAAAAAAAATTAATTCATCAACTATCTCGTTAAATATACTTTTCACGTTGAAATATTCGACATCTAAGAGGGACAAAAAACACGTCATAAAAAATCGTTAATTTTTTGAAAATGTGGCGTAGTAACTAGTTGTCTCCATGACATCATTCAAGGAACCCTCATTGCCGAGGCACGTCCTCGAGGCAGCCGCTGCCGGAGGAGCGTCGTTGCGCGCGGTCAGGCTGGCGGCGCGGTTGAGAACGGGGCCCTGGAGGACGCCGCTTCTACGTGTGATGACGGTTCATGCGAGGACCGCCACAAAAGCTGCGACGCGTAGCGCCAAAGAATGCGCATCTGGGCCGCGGGCGGTCGCGTCGCGCCGCGGGGAAGAGCGCGGGGTATGAAAAGAAGCGAGGTGGAGGCGAGGGGCAGTCTGGCGGGGCGGGGGAGAAAAGGTGGAGAGGCCGCGAACCGACGTGAAGCGGAGAGGAGGGCAGGAGGAGCAAGTTGGGTGGTGCGAACCTACGAGGCAAGGGATTGGGAAACATGTGGAAACGGGGCGGGGACAGGTTTGGAGAGGCAGACTAGGCGGGGACGAATGCAGTTTGAGGTGAGGAACCTGGCGCGAAGGAGAGGTAACAGAGCAGGCAGAGGGATGGGCGGGGGAAAGAGGAGCGCAGGAGCTTGACGGCGTTGGGAGCAGCAGGAAGGGAAAGGAAGGTCGGCGGATTAGATACGAGTTGGAGGTCCCAGAACATGCGGGCCGAGGGAGAGGGGGGAGGGAACGGGGTGGGAATCAGGTGGGTGAGAGAAGTAGGAACATAGCAAGGGTGACGGGTGCAGAGAAAGAGAGGAATCGAAAGAGACGGAAGGGACAGGAAAGGGAGCATAGGTAAGTGGAGGGCCGAGCAGGGAGGCACGGGCGTGGGCATATGAGGCCGGGCGGGGCGCCGCCGCTGTGATGGAAAGGTGGAAAACGAGGTGGGCCGTCGCCCGCAAATGGTTTCCCGGGAAGGGTGCGAGATCGCCCGGTGCAATGCAGTGACGAGCTACTGTGCGGAAGGAACGATCTATGGAGATGCTATGCGGTATTTTAGGCCTCGATGAGCTTTCTTTACTGCACTCCCCTCCTCGAGAATTTATGTTTGCACTCTGTTGCTTCATGTGAGGACAGAAAAGTAGTTTAAACGAGTGTCTTCACTGGGTCTTCCATGCGATGTAGTAGTGAAAATTGTCGCGTGGGTTGAATACGTCTGGTTATAGAAATGTTCTAGGGATTGCAATGGAGTATGAGTGCATAATACGTAGTTTATTAGTACGTATAAAAATACTTGCAGTAATACATAAGTGGGGCTGAATGCTCCATGAAATGGGGTGGAGGCAATATAAATAGTTCAATATGTTTAATGGAGTAATATGTACGAAAAATATTAATCCATGCTGTTAGCGGCGATGCCATTCGTTAGAAAACAGGTGAAATGAAATCATGACGAAAAACAACTCTCCAATTTCCAAAATAAAATGTTGCACGCTGCATTCGTGACCATAATAATAGGTGTTAGCTCTTTCAATTTTAAAGAATGTTTTTAATTGTTTAATTAGTTCATCCACAAATAATATGAAAAATTAAATATTCAGTAGCTTCTCGGACTGAATCGATTTGTTTCAAACTGCCACT